ACCTATACGGGTTCACAAGGGGTAAGAGCACTGCACACAGCATTTCCACACTCTTAAACACAATCTGCACCTCACCCGCCGTGGTTGTCTTCATAGAACTGGAGAAGGCTTTTGAATTGGCAAGCCCACTTGCATTTCAAGAGACCCTAATCCACAAAGGAATCAAAGGCAGACTCTTGGCCTGGATAGCTGATTATTTTTAAAATAGGTCAGCAAATGTCAGATTTCAAGGCCATCTCTCGCAGCACATTTCACTTGAAAATGGAACTCCTCAGGGTGGGGTTCTCAGTCCAGCCCTGTTCAATACCCTCATGTCCAACATACTCGACATTCACTTGCCAGAGGGATGCAAGATCATCTCTTATGCTGATGACTTGGCAATCATAGCCTCTGGCAATCACTGCCTAACTAGAGCTCAGCATTGTCTGAACCTGGTGTCTGAAGAATGAATGAAGAATGAAGGACGGGTCTAAAAATATCGGCAGCAAAATCCAAAGCAATGGCTCTGAGAACTAATGTCAGAAACAAAAAACTCATTGTACAGGGTATGGATCTGGAATGGGTTAAGGACTACTTATACCTTGGTGTATGGATAGGACACAAGTGGACAAAGGTCATCAACCTCCTCATGGAAGCTGATTTGCCGTCCATGGACACCAGAATTGATCTAATGGCAGCCTAGTTCCTTTCCAAGGTCCTGCAGGCACCCAGAAACTCTTATTTCAGACAAAGAGTACTTAGACGCCTACAACAAGACTACCAGTTGTTTGCGGACAACTATTGGCTCACACATACAGCCAGAGTATTGATACGCTTTCAACTAAATGAATCACTGCTTGCCAAGGGCATGGACTCCCCTCACCCTGACTACAAAGATCCCCCGCCGTAGGCAAACGAAATGATCGAAATCTCAATTTTGAATCTTACAATGAGAAAAGATCAATATTCCATGCCTAGTCTAAAGGCATAAGCACAAAGGATCAATGATCAAATAACTCCTCCGGGTAGCATAACATACTACACGGACGGATCCGTGGATCCCATAAACCATACTGCAGGCGCCGGCTTCGCAACAAGGGATTAAACAGCATCCATTAGACAATGCCTCAACGCTCCAAGCTGAAACGGTTACGATCATGGAAGCCCTGACACACGCGTCCCTACGGGCAGGGCACGTTGTCATTCGCACAGACTCTAGAGGAACTATTGATCTCTCACAGGATAGCATGCCCCCTGACAACAGTACTAACCATAGCCCAAAGAATCCTCAGTCAGGGTAGAAGAATCATCATTAACTGGGTCCCAAGCCACATCGGCATTCACGGGAACGAGCTTGCTGACAAACTAGCTGAAAAGGGCAGGGGTATGCCCACATCCTCCATGTTCGTTAAAACTAGCCAAAGAACCAAAGCCCCAGCATGTGCGGTCCTCCGGGACGCACATAGAGAAAATATCACAAAATCGCTCGCTGC